TGATAAAAATAAGAAAAAATAAAAAGAGAATTAAAATGAGTGAGTGTGCCAGCACCTTTTCGACACCGCCATCTTTGCCGATTTTTAATTATTTTTTGGCMTTGACAAATGCCCTGAAAAYTTACAGATATGTAKTTTACATAATCAATAACTCATTAAAAATGTTTCAAAAAATAATAAAATTTTTTAGGCCCCGAAATAAAGTGAAAACAAAAAGTTAAAAGTGAAAAAAAACGAAATAGTGAGTGGGTGAGCACGTTTTGACCATTCCATCTTTGACGATTTTTAATGTTTTTTTGGCTTAGCAGAATGGCTTCAAAATTTATTGGCGTGTAGGTTAAATCATAGAGAACTCACAAAAAAAATTCAGAAAAAACAACTTATTTTTAGGTCCCGAAATATTTTTTGGCGGGGGCCGAACCTGGAGGTGTTAGGCCCCCGAACGGGGCCCCGAACGCCCGAACGTTCAGGGCCCAGCCCGGGGCCCCCCCAACGTTCGGTCAGGTAACCCTGTATATATACATATATATATTATATGTAGGGTTCAGCCTCCTGATGAGTCGCTGAAACTCCGACGAAACAGTTTGTCACAGCCCCTCGTTTGTTGTCCTCTTCTCTCTCTCTGCCTACGATTTACTGGGCAGTTCTGTTTGTGACGATATATATGTATATATATATATATATACAGGGTTGCCAGGCCGAACGTACGGAGGCCCCTAAGCTGACCCCTGAACGTTCAGGCGTTCGGGTCCCCGTACGGGGCCCGAACTCAAAGGGGTTTGGACCCCGCAAAAAAATATTTTGGTACCTAAAAATTATTAATTTTTTCTGATTTTGTTTTTGCGAGTTCTCTGTTATGTAAGCTATCTGTCTCTCAATTTTGAAGTCATTCTGTGGAGCCAAACAGTAATGAAAAATCGGCAAAGATGGTGGTGTCAAAACTTGCTTTCCCACTTACTAATTTGTTCTTTTTCTCTTTTCACTTTTTGTTTTCCCTTTATTTCGGGGCCTGAAAAAAATTATTACTTTTTCAAACTTTATTTGTAGGTTCTCTATTATGTAAGATACATATGTATAAAATTTCATGGCATTTGACGGAGCCAAAAAAAAATGAAAAATCGCCAAAGATGGAGGTGTCAAAAACTTGCTCGCCCACGCAATAATTTCATTCTCGTTTTATTTTTTTCTTATTTTCATTAATATTATTTATTTTTCGTATTTGATTTTTATTTCAAATTTGGTAAGGAATTTGGATGTACTGTTGAGGCAAATGTTGTTTAGTTTATTCTTCTGCATGACATATTTTTTTTCAGAAGTTTTGGAAACGTTTTTTTTTTTTTTTTTTTTTT